AATTCAGAGGTGTATGACAGTTTTGAAAATATCTGTTTCAGTATGAGTTTAATCCAAAATGAGATTGGTTTTGCCATCCGCCATACCTAAGTTAAAAAAAAAAAAAAAAAAAGACATAGACTAGACACCAATAGAAAAACTCATGAAGAGCCATAATGGTCAGGATTATTCAACTCGGAATTAGTTGCTATTCCTTGAAGAAAAATTGTGCTTCTTCGAAACAATTCAGATGTACCCACAGCAGCAGAGGAATAACTAACATGTTCGTTGACTGGAAAACTAAATTTCCAGATTACTTTTGAAAATAAATTCTCATCTTCATCTTCAGCCTAGACAAGAAGACACAAGCACTAATTTGTACAGAGGAACTACACTCTTGATGAATAAATACAACTATTTCAAGGATAAATCAAAAATATTGTTACTATTTTCTAATTACCTTCATTACCTGACTTTCACCACTGAAACAGGGAAAGCTAGACATTCAAGAAGCTGTGAAACTGCAAGAATTTGCAGTGCCAGGTTCTCTACTTGGGAGGTATCTGAGAGGTTCAGACAGCAAACTAAGAAAAACCAAGCAGGTTGCATAATATCTCCACAAAATCAGCAAAATCTGATGCAAATTTTTCTTCTTAGTTAATTTGTATCTCACAGTGGGAATCTCTTCCACCTTAAACCATCCATGAAATAGGTAAAAATGGAGTAGTTCCTTGTGTGGCTTATGAAGCAACCAATCAAATCATCACCTGCTTTTCTTCGTCACTTCTAGAAGGGGCTAAAACATGTAACAAATTCAAATTAGAACAAGGCATTAAGACTTGTTGAGATAATCTCTTTCTACAATTTTGAGAACCTCAAAAGGCTCCCAAGAAGGAGAACAGAAAAAGGAGATTGACAAAGAACAAAACTATTTGTAGAAGGGGAACAGATATGTGATGCAGGCCTGCATGCAATCACTGGAATCCAGCTAGCAAACCATCACTCCTCCAGTGGTCAAGCAGATCAGAGGGAATAGAGAGGAGAAGATGCAAAAGCGTTTTGTGCTACCCTGTTTCTTTTGTATTTGCAACAGATTAGGACTAGGAAAACACAAGGGGTCTGTTTAAGTGCTATGAGAAGTGCATCTTGCTTGAGGATAGGTAAATTGTGACGTTATCTCAGCCCCTGCAATCGCCTGGCTAATCCTTGATCACTGCACATAGATCTACAGAACTGGGCTTAGAGACTTTGAGGACATAGCATTTAAGCTTGAGAAAGCAAAGCTCCCCACCTCCCTGAAAAAAAAGAAAAAAAAAAAGGAAAAGCAGAAAGAGTGAAGAGAAATTCTCTTAGACTGAGGTTTCCCCTTTATAAATTTAGAGTAAGGTCCCTCTTTACGTTTAGAAGATAAGCAGGGCTGGGAAAACTCTGAAGTATGGAGTCACAAAGTGAGACATTCATAGATACTGCAGCTTGTAGTGTACCATAGGTGTCTTTTTAGGTTTTAAATCCCACACAGACATCCTTTATTATTTGGAAACAGGATTTCCTGCATAGCTAAGATAATACCATCACATATTCCTAGCTCATGCTGTACTTTGTTTCTATGCTGGTGACTGAGATTCATGGACATTTCAGTCACTGTCTGCAGGGTTTGGGCATTTCACAAAGACTGCAGAGGCAGAAGTTGCCTCTTTGGATCTTCATTCTGGCTAATTCGGTGTCAGTCCACGGGTAGTAATGCTTGCTTCAGAGAAGACCCACAGAAAAGATAGGAGAGGGACAAGATAGGTGTATGTTTCACCTGGAGTACTCATCCTGATTTCCAAATATGAGTTTTGTTCATGACCTGAAAACAATTTATATTTTCTTTTCCAGTCTGAGTGTCTTAAACTCATAAACATTCAGTCCTTCTTTGAGCCTTTTTAAATTCTCCACCTCATGACAGGGAAGTTGTTTTCAACCAATGCTGATCTTGATCAATTTTCACAATCCTAGCTGAGCCTTTCACTCAGCTAATGTATGAGGTACAGGAACCTTCATGGGCTAATGACGTGACCTACTCTGTGAATTCAAATATCATTATAGCTGTCAATAGAAGAGGGTTGAGGACGAAAAGCACTATCCTGACAATGTCCCTCAAAAATGAAAAGAAGCTTTCTTCACACAGCTCTAGACTTAAAATTTTTAACCACGAATTCATATAATTAATTAGAAAATAAAAATCTCATGCATGTGCTCTGGATAACACTGGATAAGTTCCTGCACTAACTCTCCCTTTTTGACAAAAATACAGAAGTCCTTCTTGGACATAAATAATCCCATCCTGCCTGAGGAATTAATAAAAAAATTAGAATAAAAAAAAATAAATAAAAGCAACCTTATTAAATCTAACCAATATGTGACACATCCAGGAATGAACAATGCCCAAGGAGACCTCAGGGTCAGTGTGGGCAGTGAATCAGACATTGACAATGCAATATGGCAGGGAACAAGGAAGCCTGCAAATGTGGTCTGTCATAAAGGAGAGACAGACTGTATCCAGAAAGCTCCTGTGGGAATACTCTGCAAATACTCACTGAGCTTCTGACCTGTCACTGCTGGAAAAAAAAAATAATGAGAGAACTAGGAGAAGTTCAAAGAAGAGCAATCAGAATGATCTGGAAAAACTGTGCCATGGAAAGACTAAAATGGCCAGATAATGGCAGTGGTACCTAAGTGGCTTTTCCAGGTGATTTGCTGGAGTTTACAAACATATGTAAAGCAGAATCCAGCCTCTTTACACTGCTTTGGCTGTTGTAGGTATCACAGAGTTCCTTAAAAGCCTGATGTTGGACTGAAGAAGGACTCTGCCAACACAGAGGGGTATAGGTTGAAGGCTTCCTTAAGGAGTCTGTTGTCCAATGAAAATCTGATTCATTATCCAGTGTGTAATAAGCCAATAATTACACACTCAAGAGAGATGTTATTTATTTTGGAGTTGCACAAGCCTGGGTGTTCAGTGGTATCCCACAAATCAAACTTCAATCAATCCAATCCACAATTCCAACTATCAAAACTTTTGCACATTTCAGCAAAGGAATTGGTGCTTATCGGCTACAAGTTACGTAGTTCTCTTATTAATTAATATTCCACCTTCAACTGATTAATGATTCTCTCACTTCTTCTAATTAGTCCCACGCTCAGTCTTTCTCTTAAGCTGATGGGTTTCTTGGGTCAGTGGTCCGTATGTTGGTAGTTGCAATCTCCCAATGCCGGACTTACCTTTTACCCAGTTGGAGCTGATTTCAAGCACAATTGCTGAGTTGGCTTTAATAGTTCCTTCCTTGTCTTGGGAGTTCTGCTAGATGTCCTTGTGGCCCGCAAGTTCTTCATTCTTTGTGTCCACTATCAGAGGTACAGTCTTCTTCCCAAGCTTTGTTAACCTCCCCCTAGGTCTGAGATCACTGAGGCATGTCAAGTCCTAAACCTTAACAAGACAATTCTACCAATAAGTAATTTGTTTCTCTAACACCCGGACATCACTCAGAGCTTACATGTTACCTATTTCACAGACTAAATCTCCCTTCTTGTCGATTAGGCTTGAAAGTACACAAAGATCAAACATTAATGACTAACCTTTCTTAAGAAAATTGTACATATTCCACATTTTGCAACAAGCCCAGTTTCAGGGATAACAGCTATTCTGTGGAGATGGTGCTGCAGCACTGTAGAAATTACAGCACAAGCAGCAAGATTGCTACCTGAATTCCTGGTGCTTAGGATATCTAAATTATACTAAAAGCCTTGAAACTGTCCAGAAACAGGACACAGAGGTGGCTTAGAGCCAGCACAAACCCATCCTTAAGACATACAACAAGTAGAAATTATGAAAGGCGGATAGAAGGAAGGGCAGAAAAAGGAAAGGAAAAAGAAAGAAAGAAAAACAAGATGCCTTTAGACTGACTAGCAGGGGAAAAAAAATCATAAAGGTCAAACCTGAGGCTGTGGAGATGTGAGAGGCAAATGGCTGAAAGCTTCACTTCTTGCAACATTTGCCATGAATCTTAAGGGGACACTGTGCAGCTGAATTGGAGTACTCATGTCAGGTAAATAATAAACTGGCAGGCAATTTCCATCTTGTCATTTAATATTTAGATTAAAAAAACCTAAAGCCCTAGTTCAGGTTAGACTTAGGGGAGCCATGGGGAGGGGGGAGTTTTGTATGTGTGCAGAGGGGCTTCATGAGTCCCACAACAAACGTTGAGATTTCAGTTCATTCTGCATTAAGATTAGTCATAACCTCGTGAGCGGGGAGACCTCTGGGAAGACAGGGACCAAGCGAAGGCAGGCATCTGGAAAATCCTCCTCCGCTGATTCCCATTCACATAGAAACCGCCACATGTGATCACCCCCACGAAGTATCATCTCCATTAATAATTCACCGAAATTTCTTGATTCATCAAGTCCAAGAAGTTCCTGGGAAGTGTGGGAAAAGACCAGCGGAGCATCTCAGGTGCCGAGAGAAGGACTTAAGACCGGCTCGGAGGATGAGAAGCCGCACAACACAAGCACACAGTTCACAACACAGGAGCATGCCTCCTTTTTATTCCCCCTCCTCCGGTTTTATTCTGCTTTAGCTATCACTACCAAACGACTGGGAAGAAGCTGGCTGCCCTCCACCTCGAGCACGGAGCGGCTCTCGGGGAGGGGGGCACGGGGGGCTCCCTAGCACAACCCTCCCCCTCTGCCCTCCCACCGCATTCAGTTGCAAATCTCTTCCCGCCCAGAGGATCCGGCTCTGCGCCCGCTGCGCGCCCGCTCCGCGCCCGCCCGGCCCCAGTGCGGCAGCTCCGGCAGCCGCAGCGCTGCTGTGCGTATGTGTGCGGGTGTGTGTGCGCGCCTGCCAGGGAGGAGAGCGGGGAGGGAGGAGTTTGGCTTTTTTTTTTTTTTTTTTTCCCCCTTCTCCCTCCCCCTCCTCCTTTTTTTTTTTTTTTTTTTTTTTTTTTTTTTTTTTTTTTATTAATCAGGAGCAGTGAATGGAAACCAATCAGATAGAGAGCCCCGTCGGCTCGGGCTGCCTGCATGCCGGAGTTAAAAAGTGCTGCTGGCCGAGCGGGAGACCCAGTGCGAGGCGGGGAGGCTGAGCGGTGGGAGAAGGGGCCGGGGAGCCGCGCCGCCGACCCGGGCGAGGCTCGGCCCCGCCGTCCCTGCGTGCCGGTGAGTAGATGCTCTGCTCCGCTGTAGGGGCAAGTTCCAGCTGCCACCAGCCAGTTGCCTCCTTCTTCTCTTTTTTCTTTTCTTTCTTTTTCCTTTTTTTTTTTTTTCTTCTTTTTGCCGTGCTTATTGGGAATGCTAATTAATTGGGGGGGGGAGGGGGGGGGGATGACAACACTTATTTTGCAAAGTTGGCAGCTGTCTTGCGGAAGGCTCTGTCCGGGGTGACCCCCCCCACCCGGAGCTCCGCGGCGTACCCGGCGCTCAGGGGCGTGTGGGGACCACATTTGCTGGCGTTGTAAGTCAGGCGAAGGGATGCGGCGTTTTCCTGGGGATTGTTATCGCCAGCAAGACACTTCGGGCGAGGAGCGGTGGTGAGAGCGGGAGAAGGGTCGTGGGTGCTTGGAAGAGAATAATTGTAATAATGAGTAATAACAACAACAGAACAATGAATAACTAGAAAATAATAATTTTTAAAGTCTGTCTAGATTTCTTGACACTGCCTAGTTGCTATAACATGAATACAGGGCAGAAGCCTTTGGATCATGAGCAGAATCCGAGGCAAAGTGCAGAAGTGAATGTAGAGCACAGTTGAAATGAGGCGCTCCCTCAGCGAAAGGAAGGGGGCAGAGCGGGCAGATCTGAGGACGTTACAGGAATTGACAAATGTGAAGTCTTTTATTTGATAAAAGAAGGGGTTGGGGAGTGGTGGAGGTGGTGGGAAGTAAGAAGGTAGGCGTACAAGCATTTTTACAGAGGAGAAGTTCTGTAATTGCAGAAAGAAAGTGCTGAATTTGGTTATGTAGTAAATGTTTCTAAGGAGCTGGTAACATATTTTGTATGTCAGCTAGATTAACCTATTTATATATTCATATGTATGTACCACCTACTTATATGCACACACAGGGAAACCACTGTGCATACTACATGTGTGTATTCTCATGCAAAAGGTTGAGTCAAGAGATAAGCAATAGCAGTAGAGGTCAGTGGCCGTGGAGTCTTGTTACTGCTGCAATAAAATCCATATTTTACGGAGAGTTAAATGCAGTACTTTTTAAGTGGATGGTCGCCTAAGTAACTCCTGACATTCAAGGATGAAGAAGTTTAATGACCAGAATTACTCCCAGCATAATGGCACAACTACTACTTTTGTATGAATTGAGAAGATGGGGCACCTTTTGCCTTGTGGGTGATGTGGTAAAGTTCTGTTGGTACTGCATGAGAGATTGTGCAGCACAGATTACTTACAGAGTGTAAGGTCAGTCCTTTCTCCAAATGTACCATTCTTCTAGCACAGTTGAAATAAAGAGTACAGTTCTTGTATATTCAGGAATCTGTGAGGATGGAATGTACATCCTACATGTGTACTTCATGAGTTATGTGCATGAACATTTACACAAGGAGAACACTACAATAAAGAGCAAGGTTATTTCCCTTCCCTTTTGTCACAGGACCATATGTAATAGCAGTCTGGAAATGACATAATTCCAAGGGAATAAAATCGCTTGAATGTGTAACCTCTTTGGTTTTAATCAAAATAGACATAACTCTTCCAGTCAAGATAAAGGCTTATCTCCTGTATTTGCTTGACTGAAATCTCTATTATGCAGACAGTTCTGTGCAAAAGTGCTTGCATGTTACTTAAAACATTCCATAAAATTGATTAACATCTGTTCCTGAGCAGTATAATGCTATGGGTAATGGTGCATCCCTATTCATGTCTTTTTTTCTAATTCCTGTTTAAAGGCAATAAGTTTGCATGTCACAGGATAGTCTGGTAGGTCTTGGAGGCTTGTGATCAAGATTAAGTAGATTCCTTTATCATGGATATATACAGTTTTAAAGACCTGGCAACAATGACACAATTGGATAGCTCCTTTAAACAACCCAAACATGCTAATAAAGGCTGTAAGGCTGAACCCCTTTTACCTCTCCCCTCAGATATTATCTGACAAAGCACCAGTAAATATATAATCTCATATGCTTCTGGCTTTCAGCTGCACCATAATCTTTCTGGACATATTTCTAGTGGTTTGCAGTTGACTTTTGAGGTGGGGGAGAGAAGAGGAAAGCAGCCAGTCTTCAGAATAATGTAATTGGAGGCAGCAATTTTTTTTTTTTTTTTTAAATTTCCCAGGGAAAATGGCATTGATTCAGTCCTGTTGTAGTTCTCTGCAATTATCCTTTGCAGGCATTTAAGGAACTGGGATCCCCGTAGGGACTTATTAGTCCCTCTAGGTATTTTAGTTTTCACACCAGTTCACAGCTCTTTCATATCTCCATGCCAGCACATGAAAGATTACATTTATAGACACGGTCATCATTTTCTAACCAAGTTTTTCAGCTAGAAATACGCATCTCAACTTCTTACTCTTCCCTCCCTCCCTCCCTCTCTCCTTCCCTTGCACAGCTCTTCTATGCAAACAGTAACCTGCCGCTCAAGGCAGCCTTTCCTTTCATAAAGTTTGCATTTTGCCATCTGCTGTTTCAATAATATTTAGTTGAGAGACTTCCTTCAAAACCAAACACACACACATTCAAAAATGAGGGTTTTTTTTCCCGTGCTTTCTGCTGAAGATCTTGAAACTAATGCGAACTTAATAGAAGTTACTAATGTGCCTGTGCTGTCACCAGCTGAGATCCTTCTCTCAGAGAGCAACCCTCTACTCAAGGGCACACGAGGTTCCTCTGGGCAGGATCCTCCCTGCAGACCACTATCTCAGGTCTGCTACATCATTTTTAGTTTGACTGAAGAAGTTTTCTGTGCACTGATGTGCTGCTTGTTAATAAAATCGTGCAGTATTTGGGGGTTTGGAGGGAACCACTTTTGGGTTTTCCCAAATGCCTGTGCCCTGTGTAGTGGTCAAGCAAATCTAGAGAGCATCAACATTATCTGTTTTTACATGAAATGGTCATCTCTGTCTCTTGCTTAACTGAACTTTCTTGTGTGTCGTCTGCCCTTTGTTGACTACTTTTAAATTATGTTCCCTTTCTAGTGCAATCTTGCAGCATTAAGGCTCAAGATGTGTAGGAAATTGCTTATGGATCTCCTTCGAAATTGTGGCTAATTACTAAAATGAAAGGTAGCTGAAATCTATAAAAAAGAGTGGTTAGAATCCATTGGAAGCAGCAGGCCCCACTGTGATGGTGCCTCATCTTACATAATGGTTGCAATTCCTCTAGTGGCTCTGCCGCAGTTATACCAGAATAAAGTAGAATTGGTTTTTAGTATCTTTTGATTATCATAAGCGTGAGGGAAGGCTTTGCCTTGAAAGCTACGTGTTAAGAAGAGTTCTTCATTAACCCCTTGAAAACCTAGTTAGCTGCAATACCTGTTCTGATTTCTTCAGTCTTTGCATCATTTGGAGTTTGCTTCTTTTTCCTTTTTTTTTTTTTTTTTAATATAAATAATTACTTGGGTTCACTACTCTTAAAACAGGACTGATAAACTTAGCTGTGATTATCCTGACTGCCATGGTGGGGCCAAATTCAGGACCTTTTCAACATAAAAAGGCTTTAAAGTGAGTCCCTCGTCCTGCACGTGAAGTGAAGGGTTCTGTGCCACTCGCTGCAGGATTCAGCTTGCAGGAAAAACAGCGTTCTTAAGTTTAGGTTTGTTCTGGTTGAGATAAAAAAGCTGGTTTGCTCATGATTCTTGCTTAGTCATGCCAGTCCTTTACAGGGGGTCTGGAAAAACTGTGCTGTGTGAGGGGAGAGGTATGTCTCCTTTCCTTTGGGGTGGGGAGAGAGGAGATGTAGAGGGAATGTTTAATATGATGAAACCCAGCTCTTATCTGTCTTTATAGCTTAACAAAAGGTACAGAGCAGATTATTACTCCCTGTCTGAGTTTTAAAAACACCCTTGAAGAATGTATAATTAATGCAAAACATCAGCAGAAAAAGTCATCATCTCTGGATTGTACTGTGAGTGATGTAGCAGTGGAACTAGGTGGGGAAAGTGCTGGATAAAAGCATTTCTAAACTTGGAATGCTTCACATCCAGTTGGGCTTTCTATGCTCTAAGAGTTGCTTTTTTGTTCTTCCCCAATGACTGGCTGATATCTGTAGTGAGTCCATCCAGGCTCAGGTTCTTAAGCTTCTCCAGGGCTCTGCTGTGTATCCTAATCCTCATCACCCATCAGCAACTTCCCCTCCCCATTTCAGGCAGGGTTATCCCTCCTTGTACCTATGACCATCTCCTGTACTTACTCCAGGTGTGGCTGGTTGCCACCATTATCTTCCACTTTTTTATTTTTATTTGTGCACTTGGCACTGAAAAGCCCAAACAAAGACTGTAAATATTTGGTTTTATGCTTTTGTTTGTTTGTTAACAAGAGCATTCCCAGAAGAAACTAGGATAACTGTAGTTCAGGACTGTTTATAGAGTGGTGTGAATTAATATTATTGGTTGGTATGTCTAGTCTTGGGCAGCTGCTCACTCCTCGAGTATTCTTCTCTTTCAAAACAAAACCAGAAAAGACCCCTGTAGCAGCAGTGAGGAGCAATGCTGATGGAGAAGGGGAGCTCTTTCTGCTGAGGGGAGCCTGTGAGCCCTGTCACGATGGAAAAGGCTCATCTGGCATGGTGTTCCTCAGGAGTTATGGTGTTGGACCTCCAACAAGAAGCTTTAAGCAAAGAAGTGATTGCTTAACTGTGATGATGCCAGAGCACTTAGTAGGACCATGCTGAAACATCCAAGATGATAGTGATACTGCATTATCTTTCTTCACACCCAGCCATAAGACACCCTCTCCATACTCTCCTCTTTGCCAGGCACATAGACAAAAGTGCATATACATATCCATCTGGTCTCATTCAGGAATGGTGCCAGCCTTGCTATGTTTTAAGTAACCTGTTCAATAATAGCTTTATTTTGGCATTGTGGGCAAATATTTTATGGATTAATTAGCCTGTCTTGTCAGGATATGCATATATATTTATATATAGTCAGAAAGTACTTAATTCTAGCCAGAATGTGACTATTAGATTTGATTTGCAACATA